TTTGATAACAATCTATTCTATTCCAGATTTACAGAAAGACTTCTGAAGATAATTCTCCTCAAACCAATGTAGATATCTTCTAGCTTCAAGAATCAAATACTTCAGGCACTTGGGTCACTTAGTCGGCTGGGTGTCTGCGTTTGGCTAGGGTCATGATCCCGGGGTCCTGAGATCAAGTCCCAGGTCAGGCTCCCTGCTCAGTGGGGAGTCTGCATCTCCCTCTCCCTCTGCCCCTCCCCCCAACTCATGCTGTCTCTCTCTCTCTCTCTCTTTCAAATAAATAAATAAAAATAAAATCTTTAAAAAACCAAATACATCAAGAGCAATTCAATAAATATTACAGAACCATAATGTGTCTTAATGCTCAAAGCAAAATTTCCTTTACTTTCCTTTTCTTTTTTTTTTTACTTGACAGAGAGAGCACAAGTAGCCAGAGCAGCAGGCAGAGGGAGAGGGAGAAGCAGGCTCCTCGCTGAGCAGGAAGCCCCATGAGGGGCTCAATCCCAGGACTCTGGGATCATGACCTGAGCCAAAGGCTGACGCTCAACAGACTGAGCTACCCAGGCGCCCCCAAAATTTCCTTTTCTTGAAAAATTATTATGTTGAAAAGATTCCTGAGGCCACCAAAGGAGAACGTCCAGGTTTCTGGAAGCAACAATAATGGAAGGAATAAGTGAATTGCAGATATATTTTGTAAAAGTTAATATTATATGGGCTCCTGGGTGGCTCAGTCAGTTAAGCGGCTGCCATCAGTTCAGGTCATAATCCCAGGGTCCTGGGTTCCCTGCTCAGTGGAAAGCCTGTTTCTCGCTCTCTGCCTGCTGCTCCCCTACTTGTGGGTGCTCTCTGTCAAAAATAAGTAAAATCTTAAAAAAAAAAAAAAAAAAATTGTAGGGGCGCCTGGGTGGCTCAGTGGGTTAAGCCTCTGCTTTCAGCTCAGGTCATGATCTCAGGGTCCTAGGATCGAGCCCCACATCGGACTCTCTGTCCAGCAGGGAACCTGCTTCCCCCTCTTTCTCTGCCTACCTCTCTGCCTGGTTGTGATCTCTCTCTCTCTGTCAAATAAATAAATAAAATCTTAAAAAAAAAATTAAAAATAATGAAAAAATTTAAAAAACTAATTATACAAAGATAATTTAAGATTTTTTGATATACCTTTTACCAATTGCCATATATATTTTGATATACTTCTACCAGTTGCCATATGTAGAGGCAAGTGAGCAATAATATGCTCAAAACTTTAATCTCAGCTCACTGGATATAGCCTTCTTATTTCTGGACTGAATATTGTAGGTACATGAGAGCTTTGTCCTTAAGTCTTAGACATTTATACCTGGAGTGTGTAGGCTGTCACTTCTAATTTTACTTATTGATATTTTTATTGGTCAGGCCACACCCCACTGCCTGTCTTTTAAAAATCATTTATTTTTAAGTTTTTTTTTTGGTTTTTTTTTTACAGAGTTCACAAGTAGGCAAAGAGGCAGGGGGGCTGGAGGGGTGGGGGGAAGGAAAAAGGCTCCCCACTGAGTAGAGAGCCCAATGCGGGGCTCAATCCCAAGACCCTGGGATCATGACCTGAGCTGAAGGCAGAGGCTTTAACCCACTGAGCCACCCAAGCACCCCTTAAAAATCATTTTTTTTAAATATTTTATTTATTCATTTAACAGAGAGAGAGAGATCGCAACCAGGCAGAGAGAAGGTGGGGGGAGGGGGGGCGGGAAACAGGCTCCCTGCTTAGCAGAGAGCCCAATGTGATGCTCGATCCCAGGACCTTGGGATCATGCATGACCTGAGCCAAGGCAGAGGCTTAACCCACTGAGCCACCCACCCAGGCGCCCCTTAAAAATCATTTTAAACTGGGCATCTAAACATACCAAACTTCAATTCAAAACATATGAGTTACTAGATTACAATAGGGGATAGTAGAGTACTTTTTTTTTTTAATGGTGTTTTAACTTTTTTTTTTTTTTTAAGATTTTATTTATTTATTTGACAGACAGAAATCACAAGTAGGCAGAGAGCCAGGCAGAGAGAGAGGGGGAAGCAGCCTCGCTGCAGAGCAGAGAGCCGGATGTGGGGCAGTATCCCAGGACCCTGGGATCATGACCTGAGCTGAAGGCAGAGGCTTTAACCCACTGAGCCACCCAGGCGCCCCAGTAGAGTACTTTTTAACAACTGTTGCATTTGTAGCTCCTGACTTTTTTCCTCAGAGAACAATTGGGTTAGTCTGCACCATAAAGCAGCAGCTTAGAATAACCAATTTCACCAACAGAAAACCTATTTTATTTGTCAAAACACTTCCCTTTCTACATATCCAGATACTTAATTTTAAAGGTTTTGTTTCTTCCATAGGTTGGTTTTTGTTTTTGTTTTTTTCTGAAAGTGTCAGATTTCTTTTGCCTGGTTTTAGAACCAGTCTAAACAAAACAGTCATTCTGGAATATAGTCCATCTTCTGAGAAACACTGAGAAGTCAAGCTATCAGGTTGGTGTTTTCTATGATTTTATTTTCTTTCCTTTGCGTTTCCTTTAACATTGTTTTCTCTTTAGCCATACAGTCTTTTCTTTTTTTTTTTAATCTTTTGGTTTATATATATAAAACACTTTACAATGCAGTCAACACACGGCAATGCCTTGCATTTCCTTCTCTTTTCTAATTTTTTTTAAGAAAAAATATTAAAGACCATTGTGCAAAATTCCTCATTTGAGTCTCTATTTACTATGTATTGTTCAGTTTTTAGGTTTGGAAAACAGTGGGTCAGTTAAAATTCCTGAATACAAAATTACTAAAGACTCAGTCTACCTTAAGAACTCAGAACCAGAGTATAAAGACTGGTATTATGCTTTCAAAAAGAGATGTTTCAAGCTTCCAATATGCCTACCATTAAAGTATTTTAATGCTTTAATATTAAAGCTCTTGGGTAAAGCGTAACATATTGTACTCATATAAAAGTATAAATGTTTTGGGGCACCTGGGTGGCTCAGTCATTGAGTTTCTGCCTTCAGCTCTGGTCATGATCCCAGGGTTCTGGGATTGAGCTCCAAGTCGGGCTCCTTGCTCAGCGGGAAGCCTGCTTCTCCCTCTCCCACTACGCCTGCTCATGTTCCCTCTCTTGCTGTCTCTCTCTCTCTCTCTCAAAAAAATATTTTAAAAAAAATAAATAAATAGGGGCACCTGGGTGGCTCAGTGGGTTAAAGCCTCTGCCTTCGGCTCAGGTCATGATCCCGGGGTCCTGGGGTAGAGCCCCACATCAGGCTCTCTGCTCAGCAGGGAGCCTGCTTCCCGAACCGCCCCCCTCCCGCCTGCCTCTCTGCCTGCTTGTCTTCTCTGTCAAATAAATAAATATTTTTTAAATATAAATAAATAAATAAATGTTTTTACACTGTATGCTAACTGGAATTTAAATAAAAACTTAATTTTTAAATCAAGTCCTTTTTTTTTTTTTTCAAAATAAATATTTGATTCTTGAAGACAGCAGAAACATGCTCAAAGACCACTGACTTCCCTATTCTCTGATTTTAGCAACTCATCCATTTGTGAGAATTGTAGAAACAAAGGTCACAGAACTGACTTCCATCTCCAGACTTGCCCAAAAAATCCAAAGAAAGAAAATACATCCTTCCTTAGTCATTAACAACAGAGAGAAGAGTCAGTGGGCTTGATGGAAAAGAAAGTGAAATGGTCAAAATAGCTTTACTTGTCTATGAAGATGATTGACTATTGCTGGCTCTTTCTTCTGAAGTTAAATGGACTGCACTGACAAATCTTCCAGATCACACACTTACTTAGAAAAAATAATAGTAAGCACTTTCCAAGCAATGTACATATATTACCTAATCTTCCTAACAATCCTATCAAGTAGCTACTATATCCCCATTTTTAGATGGGGAAACTGAGGCACAAACTGGTTAATTAAATTGCCCAAGGTCACTATGAGGTGACAAAGCTGTGATTCAGACAAGTATAGCTAGAGTCCATGTTCTGTGTATGTGTGTGTGTGTTTTAAGTTTATTTAATTGATCTCTACACCCAGCATAGGGCTTGAACTCATGAACCTGAGATCAAGAGTTGCATGCACTTCCAACTGAGCAAGCCAGGCACCCTTACAGAGTTCATGTTCTTAATCATTCCACAATATTGCCTCCCCTATCTGAAAAAAATTTCAGAATTTCTCATTCCTGGTAAACTCCACTATTTCATTTAATCCTAATTCACTAATCCTCACTTCAAAATAGTTTTTAGAGCATAACGTCACTGCTTCCCTTAAAAGGCAGCCACAATTGTCCTAAAGCCTTTAGTTCAAATAGTTTTGCTGGTTTAGGTAATGTATTTGTTGAGTCTTTTTGTAGGGCTGAGATTGGGGCTAGGGGATCAGGACCCCTGGCCTTTTCATTAACAAACCACTTAATTTACATTCTACTCTCAGGAATATTTACAGTGTAAAGCAAGAGTTCTTAACTTGGGGTCTGGGACTACTAGCATGGATGAGTTTCGGGATATCTATTTTCCCAAAACAGCAGGCAAAAAGAATTGTATATATGCCTATGCGCTTTTCTCTGAGGAGTGTAATCTAATAGTTTCAACATCGATCTAAATTGTGTATTCCAAAAATAAAATAATTGAGGGTTAACCTCAGTCACTGCTATCTTACAATGATGTGACTACAATCTGTGGCGTTCGATATTATTTAGTATCTCCTATTTCCCTGCATTAGTTGAAAAAGGGAAATCAAAAAGTCACTATAATACCGCTGTGGCTACTTTACTGACCAAAGGGCAGAGGTTGCTTCTCTGACTACACTTTCCTTTCGGGTATCAAAAATGCCTCGACTCAGGGGACGGGAAGGAGTCGGCTATCTAAGGAGTGCACGGCTCGAGGTTGAGGTTCCTGCCAATCCAGCGCGCCCTGTTCCGAATTCTTACCCTTATTTAGACCTCGTCACCACCCCCGTCCGGGAACAGTAGGACGGGTCACTCAAAGGAAGTGACTGCGGGCAGCTCCTGACCCGGAATCGGATCCTGGTCCCGCCCCCTCCGCCAGGCTTCCTTCTGCAACAGGCGTGGGTCACGCTCTCGCTCGCTCTCTTTCTGCCGCCATCTTGGTTCCGCGTCCCCCGCACAGTAAGTCCTGTCTTTGCCGAAACTCTCTATCCGCAGCCATCCTCCTTTCTTGCGGACTAAGCCGCCCCAGAGACTAGGAGCTAAGGGGAGTTGGAGGCTTTATGGGGCTGCTGGGTTCCTACTTGGCCCTGGGAAGTGTGGCCTTGGGGCCTCCGGACAAAATGGGGTCTGCGGTTGATGTCCTGGCAAAAGCAGGGTAGAAGGGCCGCCTGCCGCGCCTGGAGGACAGGGCTGGCGACATAGAGCCGTTGCGATGTGGGGGCGGAAGCGGAGTGTGTGTGGTGTTGGGAACGGCTTCACGAGAACCCAAAAGAGGTTAAGGGGGTCACAGCCTTGGAACACCCCACCCCCGCGCGCGCGCACACACACACACGCCGTTCTTAATTGTGACAAGTGAGTGTTGGGACTTTAGGCACTCTCTTTCCCCTCCTGGTTCCCGAAAGTCCGGCAAACAGGAGACCTGGTGGTCCCAGCCCAGGCGGCGTGAGTGTAGGAGGTGGTGCAGGCTAGCGTCTGAAGTCACCCGCGGTCGCGAGCCAGACCGGGATCCTCTCCCTGGGGTTGAGAACGCAGTGCTGAGTGTTGCCTCTGTGGGGTTTGGAGTGTAGAATAAAAGGAACCCCTTGGCCATTGAAGGTTCGTTCTCTGCGGAGTAAACAGAGGTAGAAGGTGATTAGCTTGATCCGAGATCTGAGAGTCACGTCTTATTTCTTACCTATTCCCAGCAGCTTTGGGGAGGATTGTCCTGAAACATCCTCGTAATTTTTTTTTTTTTCCTCCTTAACAGCCCTTCGCAGAGTTTTTAAGAATATTTGACTCTGGGTTGGGCAGCAGAACGGATCCCAGTCAATTCAGGCCTCCTTTTTATTCCCTTCAGAAATGCCTGGTGAAGCCACAGAAACCGTCCCTGCTACAGAGCAGGAGTTGCCACAGCCCCAGGCTGAGACAGGTAGGTTCCCCTAGTCCCCTTACTGTTCATTAAAATTTTAAGACTGACCCTAAGACCATTTGGTGGGTAAAATGGCAAATGGAATACCCTTGGTTTTTTCAGAGTTAACTCATTAAAGATGGCTGTAGCTTTACCAGGGAGGAGAATCGGTGATGCTAACTGCCGTCCTGGAGGGACTTCATTAAGGAATGGACTATAAAGAGATATTTAAGATCTGAGAGCATAAAAGGCTCCCAGGCCTGCATTGTAGATTATGGCAACTACCTCATAGGTCGTACTGGGGAGCCCTCAACTCACAGTAAAACTGAGCAGGGAGGGGGCTCAGTGATTCTTACCTATTGGAACTGGATGACACACTTGCAGGCCAAGGAGACCTGAGCTTTGTGAAGATGCAGCCAGCAAGTTGCATCAAGGTTTTAGATGGCAGAGCTTGGCATTGTGCCTTCGTCACATGTCTGGATGAGATGTGTGCTGGTGGTAAATGTGTCTTACTGGGCCGCAGGGCCCTGCTGGGTTGGTTCACTTATTTTACCAGTTGGTACTAAGATGTTTATAGTGTGCTGGAATCAACAGCTTGCCTGGAACCCAAGATTGAAATAAAGTTTTCCTTTGACTGCTCTTCAGCTTTGAAATTAATGGATATAAACATAGTATAAAGGCAGGTTTCAAATTCTCGTTAAAATACTTCTCTAGAAAACTTGAGAGGGTGTAGTGAAAAAATATTTAATGATGTTCTTGCTGTGTCAGTTGTGCTGAAATAAATGAAGAGAATCTTCAGGCCGTAACTTCCATCCTCACTTTTTCTTACTATAAACTTTTTTTTTTTTTTTCCCAACCCCACCTGTCACTTAAGCAATTCCTTTCCCCTTCTGGACTTAAAATAGAGTTGCTTATAGTTGAAAGCATTGAGGTTCTCTCTCCCCACCTGTCTGATTTTAGCAGCTGAGGGGATTAATACAGCTGCTAGAAAAGAAAAAGGAATGGGCCTCTAAGCTAGTGAACAAGCTATATGAAATCCTTGAGGTACAGGGGACTTAATGGAAAGAGAAAATAAAGGACTAATCTCTAAAAGATCCTATAATTCAATACTAATCAAAACCTTATTGAACAACTTGATTTTACAAATGTGGAAACTGAAATTTAGATGAATTTGTTTCAAGCCTCATGCCATTTGCTTCTGAAGTCATCCTTAGTGCTGTTAAGCTTATTTCTGAATAGTTAGAGCTTGCACAGTAGGTTTAGTAATATTAAGGGAGGGCCAGTGGTAAAACGCTGAATTTTTTCTTAATTAGGTAGTTGTTATAACGAATGTGAAAACAAGCCCAAGGAGTTGGTTATGGTGTCTAAAGCAAGTAAATTGGGCTTTAACTAACCATCTTGGAAGTCCAGTTAGAGGAAAACATTCTAAGTTTCAAATTCTGATTCATATGTTTGGAGGCATTTGCCCTTTAATCGTGAGATTTTTACCTACCAACTCTCCAGGAAAATCTGGTTGAGCCACCTGTCCTTTCTGGAGTTGGATACTCTAACTAGAATTAGTGGTTGAATAAATTGTGAGTTTTTATCATTCAGGAAATCTACTGAGCTTTACTGTAGTGCTGAACATTGGTCTATTTTGGCAGAATGACATACTTATCCAGATTAAGGGGTGGAGAGCCAGTGTATTCTCCACTCCAATTCCCTACTTCCAAAATAGAACCACAGTCTGGTTTAACAAGTTGGCCTACAGTTTCATAATACAGCCCTTACCCTTGTGACTAAGCTTTCTCTCTAGCAGTCTAATTCATCTTAAATTGATGTCTGAAGAGCTAACAATACCTAGGAAAGTGTGTAGACATTATGAAATACAACCCATTTGTGGTTGGTTTTTTTTGGGGGGTCAGTAGGTAAACTGAGGCATAGGGAGGCAAAGTGACTTAGTATTTAATACTTACACAGAATTGTATGTCAACACCACCTTCCTAAAACTTTATTCTTTTTTTTTTTCTTTTTAAGATTTTATTTATTTATTTGACAGAGATCACAAGTAGGCAGAGAGGCAGGCAGAGAGCGAGCTGGGGAAACAGGCTCCCTGCTGAGCAGAGAGCCCAATGTGGGGCTCAATCCCAGGACTCTGGGATCATGACCTGAGCTGAAGGCAGAGGCTTTAACCCACTGAGCCACCCAGGTACCCCCTAAAACTTTATTCTAAGAGTCAAGTTTTTCTTGACCTAGTGAAAGCCTGAGCATAATATAAAGACTTGGTTTGTTGCAGGGGTGAGGGGAGGGTTGTTTTTTTGTTTTTGTTTTTCATTCAGTTCCGGCTCCCCATCATTATCAGCACTCACTGCCTGCCTTGTTCCAATTTTCGGGATCTGTTTCAGTTAGTTCGTGATCCTTGACAGTAGAACGTCTATTCTACTGGTATTCTATGGCCTGTAAGAAAGACTTTGGGTTCATTCAAGGAGGGAAAGGAGGGCACATCTGGGAAAGGGTGGAAAGCATGCTGTTCCCAACCCACTCCTAAGCCTGTGCTCCCCATTTAGAGACTAATAGGCTGCTTAGACTGTTATCTCCACCTTAAAATAGTTTGCTTGTGGGGGGGTGTAGAACTTGGGAAGTGTGGGAGATGGGGAGAGGGATGTATTCTTAATCAACCACTGAAGTATATTTGGGGAAGGTTGCTGTTGCCTGTCACCTTTGTCTAATCCTGTGCGGTGACTTTCATCCTCGGATTAAAAATTCCGTGTTTCCTGTGAGGCATGTTGTACCAACTTGGGCTGCATAACTCACCTTTGTTTTTTTCCTTCCCTTTCCTTCTTTATCCCCTTTTTTGCTTTTCTCCTCCAGCTGTGCTTCCTGTGTCTTCAGCCTTGAGTGTCACTGCTGCCTTAAGGCAGCCTGAATCTACCCTACCCCCTCCTTGCTCCCTGGCCCCCCAACAATGCCCTCTGGCAACCCCTAACCAGGCTTCCCCATTCCTTCCTCCCTCTAGTGTTGTCTCAACCCCTTTTGAATCTCCTTTTCCACAATCATCCTCTGGAACAATCCTTCCTTTGGGAGTTGCCCCCTCCCCCACTGACACCCCAGTTTTCCTACCAAACCTAATAGGGCCTCCCATCTCCCCAGCTGCCTTAGCTCTGGCCTCTCCCATGATAACTCCAGCTGTGAAAGATGCCCATTCCTCTTCAGCTCCCTTGGCTCTGGTGGCCTTGGCTCCCCACTCAGTTCAAAAGAGCTCTGCTTATCCACTGAACCCTCTTAATTCACCTCCTTTGATTGCTGGGGCTGAGTCAGGGTCAGTAACATCTCTGTCAACTCCCATTGTTTGCTCAGAACCAAAGACCTCTTCTATTCAAATTCCCATGCAAGTAGGCCCTAATCTAAAAGGCACACCTATCCCTCCAGGTATAGTCAGTGCTGTTCCTTCCCATCTTGGAACTCCCTTGGCCTCTGTTCAGTCTGGAGCAGCCGCATGTCCTCAAATGCCACCTACCACTCCCGCAGCCATCACTCCCCCTCAGTTCAAAGGCATCCCTGTTTCCTCAGCTCTGACTTCTCCACAAAACCCTGAAAGCCTCAGTGTAAAGGGACCCCTTAATTCACCTGCTACATTACCTCTTTCAACCCAGTCTATATCTGTGGCTCCCAGTGTCACTCCAGTTTTCCTCACTTCTCTGGGCTCTCATCTAGCACCTTTACATCAGGGTTCTCTTGATTCTCCTGTTCGACCCTTAGGTCAAACAGGTCCTAATGTTCTGTCAAATCCTAAAGTGGATGCCATTTCTGCAGCTCATTCTCCCACTGGGGCCTCTTACCCTTCTCAGAGATCCGTAATTCCTCCACTTCCTTCCAGAAATGAGGTGGCTTCTACTTCGGGGGCTCCAGCTTCCCCTCTGGCTCTTTCTATTGAGAAAGATCCCCCTGCTGTCACTGGTATAGCTTCCTTCAGTCCTTCTGGCTCATCAAACATAGCCACCTCTTCTCCATTATCTCCTACAGCCTGTCTCATTCTGAAAGGCTCTCCTAATGCCACTCCTCGTCAGCCTTTGGTGACCCAAATTCCTCCTCCTCCAGGGAGTCCGAGCTTGAAAGAAGCTCCTGTTTCTTCTGTTGGAACTATCCCATTCGTTATGACTAACCCCTCCACAATTTCTGCGACACCTACTACCCTTGAGGTAGCTACTTGCATGTCGTCTCCAGTTTCATCAGATCCCATAAGTAATAAGGACTCAGCTTCCCTCACTGCCTCGGTTATGGCTCCTGGGGCTCCCAAAGAGCTTTCTACTCCTCAAGTAACCCCTCTGGGAATACCAGTCCCCCCTCCTTTCTCATTCTCTGAGAACCCCAAAGGTCTCCCTACATCAGCATTGGTAAAGTTACCAAAACAAGGAAATAGCCAAACTGAACTTCCCTCTCCTCTTGGAGCCCCTGTGTCACCAGAACAGGCAGGACTCCCTACCAAGAAAGACTCGACTCTAATACCATTAGTACTGGCAACCCCCAAAAATCCCCCCTCTCCCCAAAGTATATCATCATCTCTGGAGATAGCTCTTTCTCCTGAAGCCTCCTTAGCAAAGAAAAGCCTTGTAGAGCCTCTCCCTGTAGTTATGTCAGCAAGTACTGCTCCCTCTCCTCTGGGTGTTAACTCCCCAGCCTCTATAATCAAGACAGACCCCAGTAGTCTGCCTCTCAAAAGTTCTCTCACCACCCCAAGCATAGCTACATTTCCTCTGGAACGTGTCGCTACTGCGGAAGTGGCTCCTGCAGTTACTAAAGGTACCTCCACTACAGCCAGTCCCTTTCTAGATGTCTCTCTATCTCATAAAAGCCATCCAGGTAAGAAGGGTAGTTCCACTCCTACTTTACCTGTGGTTCTTCCAGTCTCTGAAAGTTGTCCTGTGGCTCCAGCTGTGACTTTATCCCCCCAGAATGTTTCTGTTTTTCCAGCTGCCATAGCACTAGCCCCAGAAATTCCCAAGTCTGAGCCCTTTCCCTCTCTTCATCCTCAAGGTGCAAAGAAAGTTCACGGTATTTCTCATACCTCAGCATTGGCACCTGTGGCTTCCTCTCCTGAAGGGCACCCAACCAAGGACTCTGGTGCTTGTGCTTCTGTTAATGCATCTTCAAAAGGAACTTACTTAGCTGACTCTCCATCTCCTTTAGGGACTAGTGTGTCTCCTCAAACTAAAAGACGTCCAACCAAGAAGGGTTCAGCTCCTTCTACTACCTTAACTCTTTCTCCTCTTTCGAAAAGTGTTCCTGCTATCCCTGATACTCCTGCTGGAAATCACTCCTCCCCTATTTCTTCAGTTGAAGCGTCCTTTCTTCCAGAGGCCAGTCTTTCTTTTCAAGTCCCTAAAGGGTCACTGGCCAAGAAGTATTCCCCCATACTTTCCCCCAAAGAGACCCCAGATTCCCCACCTCCCAAAGAGGCCTTCACTCCCCCAGCTATAGTTCCTTCCTCCCCCAAAGGATCCCCAGCAACTTCATCCTCCAAAAAGTCACAAGCAGCTCCAGCCCCCAAAAGAGCCCCAGCTACTCCATCTCCCAAAGGGACCCCCACTGCCTCAGCTGTGGCTCCTTCATCCCCCAAAGGGGACCCAGCAGTGACTCCTTCCTCCCCCAGAGGGACCCCCAGCCCCCAAGCTGTGGCCCCTCCCTCTCCCAAAGAGTCCCAAGCAACTCCAGCCCCCAGAAGAGCCCCAACTACTCCATCTCCCAAAGGGCCCCCCACTGCCCCACCTGTGGCTCCTCCCTCCCCCAAAGGGGGCCAAGCAACCCCATTCCCTGAAGAGACCTCCACTCCCCCAGCTGTGACTCCTCCCTCCCCCAAAGGGTCTCAGGCAACTCCAGCCCCCAAAAGAACCCCAATGACTCCATCTCCCAAAGGGGTCACAGCAACCCCATCCCTTGAAGAGGCCTCCACTCCCCCAGCTATGACTTCTTCCTCTCCCAAAAAGTCCCCACCTACCCAACCTCCCAGAGAGGCCCCCACCTCCCAAGCTGTGCCTCCTCCCTCTCCCAAGGAGTCTCAAGCAACTCCCCCCAAAAGAGTCCCAGCTACTCCATCTCCCAAAGGGACCCCCACTGCCCCAGCTGTGGCTCCTCCCACTCCCAAAGGGGGCCCAGCAACTCCATCCCCTAAGGAGACCTCTGCTCCCTCAGCTGTGACTCCTCCCTCTCCCAAAGGGGGCCCAGCAACCCCATCCCCTAAAGAGACCTCCACTCCCCCAGGTGTGGCTCCTTCCTCCCAAAAAGAGTGCCCAGCTACCCAGTCTCCCAAAAGAGCCCCAACTACTCCATCTCCCAAAGGGGCCCCCACTGCCCCACCTGTGGCTCCTCCTTCCCCCAAAGGGAGCCCAGCAACCCCATCCCCTAAAGAGACCTCCACTCCCCCAGCTGTGGCTCCTTCCTCCCCCAAAGGGTCTCAGTCAACTCCCATAGAGTGCCCAGCTACCCAGTCTCCCAAAAGAGCCTCAACTGCTCCATCCCCTAAAGAGAACACTCCCCCAGCTGTGGCTCCTTCCTCCCCCAAAGAGTGCCCACCTACCCAATCTCCCAAAAGAGCCCCAACTACTCCATCTCCCAAGGGGGGCCCAGGAACCCCATCTCCTAAAAACTCCACTCCCCCAGCTGTGGCTCCTTCCTCCCCCAAAGTGTGCCCAGCTACCCAATCTCCCAAAAGAGCCCCAACTACTCCATCTCCCAAAGGGGGCCCAGCAACCCCATCTGCTAAAGAGACCATTCCCGCAGTTGTGACTCCTTCCTCTCCCAAAGGGCCCCCCACTGCCCCATCTATGGCTCCTACCTCCCCCAAAGGGGGTCCAGCAACCCCATCTGCTAAAGAGACCTCCATTCCCCCAGCTATGACTCCTTCCTCCCCCAAAGAGTCCCCAGCTACTCAACCTCCCAGAGGGGCCTCCACCCCCCAAGTTATGGCTCCTTCCTCTTCCAAAGAGTCCCAAGCAACCCTATCCCCTAAAGAGACTTCCACTCCCCCAGTTGTGGCTCCTCCCTCCCCCAAAGAGTCTCAAGCAACTTCAGTGTCCAAAAGAGTTCCAGCTACCCCACCTCCCAGAGGGGCCTCCACTCCCCCAGCTGTGGCTCCTCCCTCTCCCAAAAGGTCCCAGGCAGCTCCAGGCCCCAAAAGAGCTCCAGCAACTCCATCTCCTAAAGGGGGCCAAGCAACCCCATCCCCTAAAGAGACTTCCACTCCCCCACCCGGGGCTCCTTCCTCCCCCAGAGAGTCCCCAGCTACCCAGCCTCCAAAAGGGAGCCTCACTGTAGCTCATCCCTCCCCCAAAGAGTCTCAAGCAACTCCAGCCCCCAAAAGAGCCCCAGCTACTCCACCTCCCAAAGGGCCCCCCACTGCTCCACCTGTGGCTCCTCCCTCCCCCAAAGGGGGCCCAGCAACCCTTTCCCCTAAAGAGACTTCCACTCCCCCAGCTGTTGCTCCTTCCTCAAAAAAAGCCCCAGGTGCCCCATCTCTCAAAGGGTCCCTTACTCCCTCAGCTGTGACTCCTTCCCCTAAAGAGTCTCTGGAAACTCCAACCCCCAAAGGGGCTCCAGGAATCCCATCTCCCAAGGGGCCATCCACTCCCCCAGCTGTGACTCCTTCCTCCAGAGAGTCTCCGGCAGCCCCAGCCCCGAAAGGGACCTCAGCAACTCCATCCTCCAAAAGAATCCCAGGAGGAACTCCATCCCCCAAGAGAGCCCCAGCTACCCCATCCAAAGGTACCCCCACTCCCTCATCTGAGAGTCCTCCCTCACCCAAAGAGGCCCCTACCTCTCCAGTTTCAGTCACATGTTCCCTGGGGTCCATTGCCCCTCTGGCTTCTAAAGGCCTACCAGTAAAGAAAGGCTCCACAGCTCTCAAAGCAGGACTTGTTGCCCCAGCTCCAAAAAGTATACCAGCTGTCACAGCTCCCTCTGAGAAAGCTCCACTGGCCAAGAAGAGTTCTGCTACTTCACCTCCTGTGTGCCCAGATCCTTCAGCTAAGAATGGTACTAAAGGACCCCTTCCTACAATGGCTCCAGCCCCCCTGACAGTCTCTGCTCAGAAAGCCTCTTCAAAGGCTCCCAAAACCCTTCCTGTTTCTCCATTAAAAAGCAAAGATTCTGCCCATTCCCCAAAGAGCCCTTTGACTCTTCCTCTTGAGTCTGTGACATCTACTCCTCTAGCAACAGTTTCCTCTGAGAAGGTCCTTCCTAAAGCTGGATCAGCATCTATCCCTCCAGCACCCACCCCATCAGTCTCTCTGCCTCTCGCTCCCTCCCCAGTTCCCCCTCTGCTTCCTAAACAGCAATTTCTGCCGTCCTCACCTGGGCTGGTGCTGGAATCACCCTGTAAGCCCTCAGCCCCTGCTGATGAGGATGAGCTGCCGCCTCTGATTCCCCCGGAACCAATCTCGGGGGGACTGCCTTTCCAGTCGGTCCTCGTCAACATGCCCACCCCCAAACCTGCTGGGATCCCTGCCCCAACCCCCTCTGCCAAGCAGCCTGTTCTGAAGAACAACAAGGGTATTTGCCTTGGTTTGCTGTGTGCATGGTGTGTCGCCCACACCCCTCCTGGGGCTACCCACCGTACTAACCCTAGGATGCGCCGCTTTCTCCAGTGTATCTGCTTGTGTTTGGACGTAGAACATAGAACGATAGTTTTAAATGCAAAAGCTCTAGGAATGTGAATCAATCTTGGTTTTCATCACCTCAGATAGTCTGTTTTGTATCATCTTGTATAATATGGTCCAAGCTAACCCTGGATCTGCCATCTTTTTCCCTGAATGATCTGACATTGAAAACCAAGACCTATTAGACCTTTTAATTTGCTCTAATCTCTACCACATAACTAACCTTGTCCCTGGGCCTGGGATTTGCTAAAATGTTGGGAAATACAGAACTATTTGAATTTCTTTTCATGATTTAGATTCAGTGATGACCAGTGCCCAGGGGACTCCCTTTTCAAGACTTTTTTCCTAGCCTGAGAATGGTGCAGGTGTCTGCTTTTTTCTCTCAGTATTTCTCTCTTTATTGATGCTTGGCATTTTGACTGAGATAAACTTAAAATATGTGAATTATATTTGGAAGAAAGGGGAGAGGTCACAGGACAGGCTCTAACAGAGGTGACTGTTAGAACTGTAGGTTGGCAGTCTTTGAGAATCTTCAGGCTATGTTGATGAAACCAAATTGCTAGGGTAAGTGGTTTGAAAACAAGGCTAAATGTGTGTACACAACTGCTTCTGGCCTTCCCCAGCTCAGTGTAAGGATGAGGGGAAAGTGTCCTCCCTGGTCTGCCTCCACAGTGTGATCTTACTGTTTTTTCATTTAAATGTATCTGGAGATAACTTTGTCTGCCATAACCTTTTGGAGATGGTTGGGCTATCGGGTAGAATTTGGAGTTACATAGGTCCTTGGTATTGGCCTGTGCCAAGTGAAGACCTTAAGAGAAAGGAAACAGTTACTCTTTATAAATTGCTTGGCTATAACTAGTAATTACCTCTTATTTCTGGGGCTGGGTCTTTAATGGATGTGTACACACTAGTTTATGGCTGAGTTGGAGGCTGTCAAGCTGACTTCATACAAGTCGGTTGGTTTACATTTAACTTTGTGAGGTCTAGTATAAGCCAGTGACCTCTAGTCCACATAGGCTGTGGTGAGGTGTCTTTTCCTTATAATCTACTGTAAAATAGTAAAAGTTAAATTTGTCATCTCAGGGTCTGGAACAGAATCTGACAGTGATGAATCAGTACCAGAGCTTGAGGAACAGGATTCCACACAGGCAACCACACAGCAAGCCCAGGTGGGTGTTCTCCTACTTGTTGGTCAGAGTACTTGAGTCAAAGAAGCATTGAAGAACAAGGGTTGATCAGAGAAGCTGACTTCAGTATTTGGAACGGTGAACCTTCATAAAGGGAAAACCTCATGGGGATTGTGATATCTAGGCCTTATGTCCCAGTTTACTCATAGCTGTTTTCTTTCTTCAGCTGGCAGCAGCCGCTGAAATTGACGAAGAACCAGTCAGTAAAGCAAAACAGAGCCGGAGTGAAAAGAAGGCACGGAAGGTAAGTTTTTAAGTTATGAACAAGGATTAAAGGTTCTGATGAAGCAGCTTTAGAGAGGGGGAACTGTAATGGTAGAATCATATTTATAGTGATAGAAATTACTATGGCAAAAAAAAAAATCAGGAGTCCTGGAAGCCAATTCTGTATTATCAAGTTAGCCTAGGAAAAGGCTTTGCTTTGTTTTCATTTGTTTTGTTACCTTTTTTCATTTAATTAACATTTAATGTATTACTGGTGTCAGAAGTAGAGGTCAGTGATTCGTCGTTTTTTTTTTTTGTTTTTTTTTTTTTTTAAGATTTTATTTTATCTATTTGAGACCGCACAAGCCAGGAGGAGGGTCAGAGGGAGAGGGAAAAGCAGACTCAGGGAGCCCGATATGGGGCCCGATCCTGTCCTAGGATCGCAACCTGAGCCAAAGGCAGACGTCCAACCGACTAAGCCACCCATGCGCCCCAATTCATCAGTCTTCTGTAATACCCAGTGCTCATTACATCATGTACCCTCCTTAATGTCAACCCAGTTACCCCGTCTCCCTACCCCCCTTCCATTCCAGCAACCCTCAGTTAAGGCTTTACTTTGGATATAGTTATTACTATGTTCTTTACCTCCTAAAGCTATTTCTTTTTTTAAGATATTATTTATTGGGGTGAGAGAATGTGTGCAGGAGCAGGGGAAGAGGTAAAGGGAGAAGCAGAATCCCTGCTAAGTGCAGAGCCTGATGTGTAGGGCTTGATCTTACAACCCTGAGATAAGAGCTGAAATCAAGAGTTGGACATTCAACCGACTGAGCCACCTAGGTTCCCCTGTGAAGCTGCTTCTGGAGAAGTTGAAAACCTGATGTTCTTTTCTATTCCTTAGGCTATGTCCAAACTGGGTCTTCGACAGGTAACAGGGGTTACAAGAGTCACTATCCGGAAATCTAAGAATATCCTCTTTGTCATCACAAAACCAGATGTCTACAAGAGCCCAGCTTCAGATACCTACATAGTTTTTGGGGAAGCCAAGGTAAAAGTTTTCTTGGACTCACTCTAGACCAGGGTTTCTCAACCTCAGCACTATTGATATTCAAGAGTTAGATAATTCTTTGGTGTGAAATTTGAGGTCAGTTAATTCCTTGTTGTGGGAGGGGCCTTCCTGAGTGTTAGAGATGTTTAGCAGCATCCTGCCCAGATGCGATAACCAAAAAAATCTCCAGACATTTGGTAGATGTCCCTGGATGACAAAATTACCTCCCAGTTGAGAATCACTGCTTTAGACCTAAACTAGTTCTCTCTCTACAATGATAACATAATCTTAGGGCAAATAATTTAAAGCTATATAGTAAGTTAACCTGAAATAGCTTTAAAGTAAGAGTTTGGAAAAGATATAAATGATTTATTTCACTTACTGCAGATTGATCTTGTCACATCTGTATTTTCTGCCCTGCAGATCGAGGATTTATCTCAGCAAGCACAACTGGCAGCTGCTGAGAAATTCAAAGTTCAAGGTGAAGCTGTCTCAAACATTCAAGAAAACACACAGACTCCAACTGTACAAGAGGAGAGTGAAGAGGAAGAGGTATATAGGGAAATCTTTTATACTTTTAATCCTCTCCAGATAGTATTTTGTGTTTAAGATTTTATTTATAATATTACATGTAATATATTATTATTTGTAATACAAATTTGTTATTTATCCATGAGAGAGAGGCAGAGGGAGAAGCAGCTTGGGGCTGCTTGGGGTTCAGTCCTAGGACCCCAGGATCGTGACCTGAGCCAAAGGCAGACGCTTAACCGACTGAGCCACCCAGGCACCCAGTATTATCTCGTATTGATGGGTGCGTTCTACATTGCTCTAGGCTCTCGAACTCAATTGACTTAAATAGTTTCTGAGTTATATTAAAGAACCAGATTTAAGAGACTCCTTTCTCCAAAGAACTACCAGAATTTTTCTTTGGGTTATTGTGTTTTTCTTCCTTCTCTTAGGTTGATGAAACCGGTGTAGAGGTTAAGGACATAGAATTGGTCATGTCACAAGCAAATGTGTCAAGAGCAAAGGCAGTCCGAGCCCTGAAGAACAACAGTAATGACATTGTAAATGCTATTATGGTAAGTGTCAAAGCCTTTATTCCTTCTTCAGCCCTGACCAGTTCGGGGTGACTTTATTTTCTGTACTTAAGATCAGCCAGTTTAGGAAGCTTCATTCCAAAGCCTATTCCGAATTACCTCATATTTAGGGGCCTGAATTCCTAATTTGCCTCTAACTACTTCTAATGATCTCTTTTCTTACAGGAATTAACAATGTAACCGTCTGAAAACGAGGACTTTTTTTGGTGTTTCAAAAGAATAACTGCAGCTTGGTTTGAAATTTGTACTGTTTCTATCATTAATAAAGTTATGGCTTCTTGTTGGATGAACTCAGTGGGTGCTTGGTCTCTTTTCCCTCCTTCCACCCACCTGCCCCCCCCAAAAAAAAAGAAAAACAAACTTGAAGTCTCTAGAAATGAAAACATGTAATTTACCTTAAGGCCTCAGCTTGAGTTTGAGAAGGTTTAGTGCTGCAGATTCCTCACTTAAGATGTCAGTCTTTTCATCTCTTTTTGTGTGTGTATGTGTGGTTTAGGTTTTATTTCTGTGTGTGTGGGGGGGGGGTTTAGGTTTTATTTCTTTTTTTTTTTTTTTTTTTTTTAATTTTTTCATCTCATTAAAGATACTATACTAGGCTGTCTGTTAGAACTTCCTTGTGTTAAGAGTTTAAAACTTAAATGTAAGGTTTTTCCTTTCCATATTCTTTCCCACATGTTAACTGTTAGCAAATCGTCTTCTATATTTAATAATCATCAGCCTCTTTTCTGGCCTACAGTCCTTGAATATATATATATGGGACCTCATCTGGCCTCTGGAAAGCAGTTCACAATGGTTACATCTTGATATGTAGGAGCTTGGTACAGGGTTGGAGAGGGTAGGGTGCATAATTAATATGGATGAAAAGACTGCACTTTGTACAAAATGCAGAGGTATGTCATGAAAGGAGTTTTTGACTGTTGTATACAGTATAAACTCTCTGCTGTCAGGCATACACTATAGAAACATTTTAATGTACAAAATAAATTATGATTAGGGTAGCCATAATTATGCTAGGACAATAAGTGGAAAATGAGGCAAACTAATAAACAATGATTAGCCAGTGAATGAAAAATACACATAACTCCATAGAAGTCCTAGGAGAAGAGTAAAGCGTCTGAGTTTGGGTTGTTAGAAAATGGTTTGGGGGAAAAGCAGAAGACTAAAATTTGGAAATGGGAAGGCTAAAAGTAAACATAGAGGTAAGAATCTTAAATAAGTGATAATACACCTGCAAGGAATGTTAAGATGGGAATGGATCAGACTAACATGGTAGAAGGCATTGGAGACTAAAGAAGTTTAGCCATTTCTGTTCCTGAGTTTTTTTAGGTTTATTTAATCTCTTCACCATGAGCCTCAAACTCAAAACCCCGAGGTCAACAGTGATACGCTGCTCCGACTGAGCCAGCCAGGTGCCCTTGAATAGTGTTTTAACAGATGTGAGTGAAAGTTGAGGACCAAAAAAGTTAAATGACTTCCTCCAAGGACAGCTACTCTCTAAGTAGGGTCTTTTCATTGTGGTAGGCTGTATTAGTAAGAAGTGGTAGACTATCTGGAGAACCACAAGTTGACATCTGGCTGAGATTGATGACCTGCTTCCATTTTACCAGGGTAGAACAGTACAGTTGCTGAACAGAACTTCTCAAGGCTGGGATTCCTGGGTGGCTCGGTTGGTTAGGTATCTGCCTTCACGGGTCAAGATCCCAGGGTCGTGGGATCAACTTACATGTCAGGCTCCTTGCTCAGCAGGGAACTTGCTTCTCTGCCTGCTGCTCCCCCTGCTTGTGCATGCTCTCTCGCTCGCTCGATTTCTCTGACAAAATACTTTAAAAGTTTTTTTTTTTAAAAGGAATGTACAACTAACTTTCTCTATCACAGAATGATAAAATTTTTGGTTCTCAAATTAGGGAATGTATAGGATGAGCAAATTTTTTTAATTACTTTCCTCGTTCTTAAAATGATTAAGTCTTCATTCAAATACTCAATAGACTTTTTTTTTTTTTTGAAAGATTTTATTTATTTGAGAGCAGAGGCAAAGAGAGGACCAGTGGAGGGTAGGGTCAGAGGGAGAGGGAGAAGCAGACTTGGTGCTGAGCAGGGACCCTTGATCCCAGGAGCCCCAAGATCATGACCTGAGCCGTAGGCACATGCTAAACCAACTGAGCCACCCAGGTACCCCTAAATAGACTATTTAACAATGATATTTTAAGTAACCTCTGACCTCATCTGTCAAAAAAGGGGGGGGCACCTGGGTGGCTCAGTGGGCTAAAGCCTCTGCCTTAAGCTCAGGCTGTGATCCCAGGGTCCTGGGATCAAGCCCCACATCCAGCTCTCTGCTCAGCAGGGAGCCTGCTTCCCCCTCTCTGCCTGCCTCTCTGCCTACTTGTGATCTATCAAATAAATAAATAAAATCTTAAAAAAAAAAAAAAAAAAAAACACCTGATAACCCCAAAACATACAGGACTGTTAGAAGCATTTTGCTAAGAATCTGTGAAACTGGCACTGGTTATTTACTGAATGACCATTCTGATTTCTAAAGGGGAAAGAAAACAGTAGGCCAATTTAGTTAGCCTCTCTGTCTCTCCATGTTTCTACTTTAGCAGATTTTCTTTTTATTTGGGAAATAAACTTCAGACATGCAGGTAAGAACTGTATGTGTACCTGTCATTCAGCTGTTTTATTTTTTTAGAAATTAAACCATACAGATAGGTACAGAGACCCCTTTATATCCTTCCTCAGACCGATTTCCCTCCCTCAGAGATACCACTGTCATGAACTAGTGTTTTATAATTTCTGTATGTAAGTTGATATTCTCTCAATACGTTTTTATGTACCCAAAGCATTTAGTGATCTACAGACTTTTAAAACTTTAAACAAAACTGTACATTATATATCATCCTGCAAATTTCTTTTCACTTCAACTTTGTTCCCATGATTTATCTATGATAGAGGTAGCTCTGTTCATTCTCTTTCCAGACCACAGTAGTGTGGCTTGTATCTGTACCTTTCCACGAAATGGCTTTCAGGTTCACCTAGTTGATAATTCCAGTGGGCATTTATGCATAGTCACATTTGTCTTTTAGTCTCCTTAACATCCCTTTGGTTTCTCATAAATTTGTTTGATCTTTTTTCAAGATCCACAAAATGACTTCCATTATCTGTCTGCCTTGTCAAAATTTTCCTTTGTGTTTTCCCAGTTAACACAGCTCATGAATGACACAGTTGTCCATTTGGTTGTATAAAAAAGAAACCTAGTCTTTCCAACAGATGGTGTTGGAAAAGCACATGGAAAAGAATGAAGTTGGATTCTTGATACCAAATACAGAAACTAACTACAAAAGATGTAAGACCTAAAATCATAAAACTCTAAGAAGAAAACAGGAGGAAAGCTTCATGCTTTTGATTTGCCAATGATTTTATGTGATACCAGAAGCATAGGCAACAAAGTATGTAGGAGTGCCTGGCCAGCTCAGTCAGAAGAGCATATGACTCTTGATCTAAGGGTGGTAAGTTCAAGCCTCATGTTATGTATAGAGATTACTTGAAAAAAAAAAAAAAAAAAAAAAAAAAAAAGGTAGTGTGGCTCAGTCGGTTAAGCTTAGTCTGCCTTTGGCTCAGGTCATGATCCTGGGAGTCCTGGGATTGAGCCCCACGTTGTGCTTCTTGCTCGGCAAATGACCTCTCCCTTTCTTTCACAAATAAGTAAAATCTTACTAAAAAAGAAAAGGACAACCTACAGATTGTGAGGAAATATTTGTAAAGGACCTATCTTGGTGAGGGGATAGTATCCAGAATATATAAAGAACCTATAGGGGTGCCTGGGTGGCTCAGCTGTTAAGCGTCTGCCTTCGGCTCAGGTTGTGATCCCGGGGTCCTGGGATCCAGCCCCACATCGGGCTCCCCACTCAGCGGGGAGCCTGCTTCTCCACAACTCTTAACACTCCCCTTGCTTGTGTTCCCTCTTTCTATGTCAAATAAATAAAATCCTTAAAAAAAAACTATAGATCAACAACAAAATAAGGACATTAAGCTATATAAAGTAAGCTATATAAAAATAAGCCAGGGGGCACCTGGGTGGCTCAGTGGGTTAAGCCTCTGCCTTCGGCTCAGGTCATGATCTCAGGGTCCTGGGATCGAGCCCCGCATCGGGCTCTCTGCTCAGCAGGGAGCCTGCTTCCTGCTCTCTCTCTCTCTGCCTGCCTCTCTGCATACTTGTGGTCTCTGTCCGTCAAATAAATAAATAAAATTTTAAAAATAAATAAATAAATAAATAAATAAAATAAAATAAAAATAAGCCAGTCACAAAAAGATAAGGATTGTATGATTCCACTTATATAAGGTACCTAGATTAGAGTCAAATTCATAAGAGACAGAAATAGAATGGTGTTTGCGAGGGGTCGGAGGAAGGAGAGGAAGAATTAATGTTTAATGGGGACAGAATTTCAGTTGGGGAAGATGAAAAAGTTCTGAAGATAGATGGTGAGGGTTACACAACAATGTGGATATACTTAATCTCACCAAACTATAGACTTAAAAAATGGTTAAGATGGTAACCATTTATGATAAATGCCTAGTTGGGGTTTTTTTTTTTAGATTTTTTTATTTTTGGGTAATCTGTACACACAACATGGAGATTGAACTTAACGACCCTAAGATCAAGAGTCGCACACTCTACTGACTGGGCCAGCCAGGTGCCTCTATGTTAAGTGTATTTTTAAAAAATTATTTTAAGGGAAGAAAAGAAACCTCCATGTCAAACTAATCCTGTCACAGGCTCCCTTCACAGCTGTTCCTACAATTTTTACTTTCTAAATATTCTGTGTCTATTCCCCCTCTTCATTCCTAAAGCAACTGCCTTAATCGAAAACCACGTGAGGGGTGGGCGCCTGGGTGGCTCAGTGGGTTAAAGCCTCTGCTTTCGGTTCAGGTCATGATCCCAGGGTCCTGGGATCAAGCCCCACATCCGGCTCTCTGCTTGGTGGGGAGCCTGCTTCCCTTCCTCTCTTTCTGCCTGCTTGTGATCTCTGTCTGTCAAATAAATAAATAAAATCTTTAAAAATAAATAAATAAAAGAAAACCACCTGAGGGGTGGGCACCTGGGTGGTTCGGTCAGTTAAGTGACCGAAGCTTGATGTCAGCTCAGGTCATGATCTCAGGGTCGTGGGATCAAGCCCTGCATTGGGCTCTCTGCGCAGCGGGAGAGATTGAGATTCCCTCTCTCTGTCCCCCGCTTGCTCACTCGCTCTCGCCCTCTCAAATAAATAAGTAAATCTTAAGGAAGGGAGGGAGAGAG